TGTTTCCAGGGTTGTATCGTACTGTGTTAGGGTTAATGTGTAATATTCTGTGTCCCATGTTTCCAGGGTTGTATCGTACTGTGTTAGATGTGACATTATGTTAAGCATGAGACAGCAGTAAGTGTGACTAAATCTGACCTGATTTGATCCTTGGCATTCTGCAACTCCTTTTGCAGGTACCTTGTCTCCTCTGTGGCCTGCAGCTGGTTGACACTCTGCATTGTTCTACATATAGAATAACTTTGATTAAAGCATGTCACTTAATTCCTTAATATGTTAACAATTTCTTATAAAAACCAGCAAATCTTTTTAAAACCTTCTCATAAATGAGTAAGAAATTCTTCAAAAGTAGTAAAAAAGAATCCTTCCCCCCCTTTGTATTGACAATGTACATAGGTTATTACTTATACGTAAATAACTCATTTTTTCCAAGCTGTGTAAAGCAAATAACTATAAAAGCCCTCAGAGAGCTCCGACCTCTGCCAAGGCAGCTCAATTTTCATCAATTTAAGGCCAATGGCCGTCCTAATAACAGCTGGAGAGCTCTCTGGGGAAACTGTTGAAAAATATATATACAGGAGAGACACCGTCTTCTCCACTGTCACTCACTGTATGAACTCCTCTTTCTCCCTGAGGTTGGCCTCCAGTCTCTGGACCTCCCCTGTCTTGTAGTCCTGGTCCTCTCTGGCCATCTGTAACATGTGATCTCTGGACGCCAGGTCTGCCTGGAGCTGAGATTTTTCATCCTCTAGTCTCTGGAAGCAGGCACAACGATTGTCACTTTACTTCCCAAATAGATGCACCCTTACAAAATCTTATTCTATAGGTCAGAAAAAAATTCTAAAAATTTCCACAACAAGAAATTGTTTTTCTTTATATTATGGCAAATAGCTTAGTCCAGATCTGTTATTTTTCAAACATGATATCACTCTACCTGGATGCGGTAATATGCCAACATACAGCAAAGCAATCTGCAGGAGATAAGTTCTCATAGAACACACTTCATTGGTTATTGTTTGTAAAACATAAGCACAAGCAGTGGTTCCACTACAAGTAACTGTTACTGTGATTTATTCCTGTGGTAGCTAAAGCACCAAGAAAAAAACTTCAATTTACCAAATTGGCATTTTTGTACTTCCTTAGCTCTTCTTGGATTTCCTCTCTGTCAGCCAGTGCTCTTTGGTGGCTGGAGACGGATTCCTCTAAAGAGGCTTTCAGCACCTCTATTTTCTCATCCTGTGATTGGTGAAAAATGTGCCCAACACAAAGTTGCAGAGTGCATGTGAAAACAAAGCAAAATTCAAACTTCATTTCAAGAAATTGGTGCTATACTAAAAAAAAAATGTAAACACTATTGGTAAAGTGATGTAAAGCAATTCCCTTACAAACAGTGAGTGTCCATCTCATTTAAAGATGCAAAAAAAGAAATATTTCAATCTCAAAGTAAATCATTATCAATATCTTTTGAAAGACAAACATCCAAAGAGTCAGAGAAGTATGCAGTTGCTAGCCACTGGCCCAAATAATGTCAAGTTCAATGCCAAAATTAAAGCAGCCAGTTGGTTTTGACTGTTAGTAATTTGCTGTGCAAGACAATTTTTCACTCATAAGTAAATTTCATCTTTGGAATGGTCCATTTTGATTTATATCATCAAGTTTTTAGGCCTACTTGTCCCAGAGCCCAGTGAAGTAAAAGTTGAAAGCACAAGCAGCTAGTTCATCAACAACCTGGCCCTGGTTTCACAAAGGCTAAAGTCAGTTCCTTAGCTGACGAGGATTTCCATGACAGTGTTGTAACACTGTTCCTGATAGGGCAGGATGTGTACATGTGACCATGTAACCTTGGCAACCAAGTTCTTAGTCAGTGAAGCTGACTTAAGGCTTTTTTTGGTAAAACAGGGGTGAACTGTTACCTGAGAGTTCACAGTGTCCCTTGCTCTGTCCAGCTGTCCCTCCATCTGTGCCAACTGTTTCTTCATCCTCATCTCTGAGGAGTCTTGAATCTTCTGTCTTTTGTCCAGCTGAGACTGGTAGCCTGCAGACTGTTGCTGTGGAAATATATGAATACATATAAATATAAAGATAATAACTAAATGGATTCAGTTACCTTATTAGTAAAAAAACAGAGGATCAGAGAGGAGATAGCTCCTCCTGGGTTTGTACGGCCACCTGTGTTGGGCACATTAGATTAGTATGAATTAAAATGAAATGAATATGGGTCATATATATATATTCCTCTTTACCTGCATCAGTTCACATTTCTCAGCCAAGGCTTTCCTCTGTGCCTCTAGACTATCAATCTGCCTGGTGTAGTTGGATCTCTGGAGCTCACATTCCTGGGAATGCTGCCTGTATTCCTGGAAGAAAACCAATAAGAACATGTCATTTACGATTACAGTAGAGGATGACATTGAGATTTTCTAACCACTTGGTATTCAATAGAAGCTACAACTGAAATCATGAAACAGGTTTGCCGTACTTGATAATCCAATGAAATGTTGAGCCACATTTAAATATGACAGAAACATTTTGATATCATATCAAGTGTGAGGATATTTATGTATACATTCCTACAGGAAAAAGTGTGAAGATATTTAGGTATACCTTGATAGAGGTGGACGTCAGTATGTTTTCTGTAATGATTTTCTATCACTTGTATCATACTTACCTCCAGTGTACTAGTACTTACCTCCAGTTTACTCTTCAGTCTGGTCAGTTCAGACATGCTGTCTTGGGCCTCGGCTGACTGTTTCTCTTTCTCTCTGCCCAGCTCCTTGGCCTGCCTGCTCATCTTCCGCTGTGTCTTCTCATAACTGCGCTTTAAACTGTGCAACTAGAAAAAAAAATACAAATGTCACTGATGAAGTGTGTGCTCAGATAAATGCATTTACTGATTCTCTTTATACCTCATAAGAAATGTTTCTGGGAATCTCTCTCTCTCTCTTTCTCTCTCTCGCATCACATAAAACATAAACAAGTGCGCAATGCAGCACATACACAATCCCCTACATCCAAACACACATGTTCATCCCAGCATGCACGTAATCACATACAGCATATGAGTGACTGCCACAAGGAATTCTGTATGTCCCTAATAACACCAAGCACCCACTTCCTGACTCACCTCGTTCCTGACCTGCAGGAGCTGTTTTTCGTACTCGGCCACCATATCCCTCTGTGCTCTGTCCATCCCCTCTATCTGCTGCCTCAGCTGGCCTATCTAGAATAACATTAAACAATGGCATTTGTGATCCACTTTTTATCATTTAAAGGTTTGAATTTTTTTACCACCACTAAAGTCTGGGAATAGTACATTTTGTACCTTACTAGTATGGCAAGAACCAGTATTCCAAAAAGATTTTTTAACAAAGTGTATGTGTGCGTGTATGTGCCTGTTTTTCTTCATGAACAAATGATATAAAATTAAATACAACCAGACGGGTTGGAGATATAAGTAAACCGTGTGTAACTCCCAGACCTTGCTGGTACAATACTCAGTATAAAATAACAAAAATCCAGCCCACCTCTCTGTGTTTCTGCTCCAGCGTTGCCCTCATGATCTGACACTCCTTGTCCTTGCTGTCAGCCTTCACCTGCAGGGCGCTGGCCTCTCTCTCCCAGTCCATCCTACGGTTGTGGACCATGATGTCGATCTGCTTCATCAGCTCCTGCAGCTCCGTCTCACAGGATGACAGGGCTGGACCTTGGACGGCTGACCTGTGGGGTGGACACGAGAAAGGGGAGGAAAGTAGAGAGAATGTGCCACTTTTATCAAGAAATTAGAATACCAGGGGTTATAACTAGCTTACAGTAGGAGTCATTTCTGAAATCTAATTAACTAATTAAAAGCATGGTCAAAGTAAGAGATTCGTAATGGTGAAGGAGTGCATTTCAGTAAGAACAGTGAAGTCTGGGAATGTGTTTTTCTGGGTCTCAGTATAAAAAAAGAGACTTTCAATGTATGACATTGGATTAAATAATGGATGGAGAGCAGGCATGGTAAAAAGTAAATGTATCGCAAGTCATTCTCATTGAAACAGACATGCTGAAAACTTTTTAACATCCAAATACTTAAATCAGCAGTAATGAAAATTTGCTGGACAAGAGGAAGAGGGGAGGAGGGGGTGAAATATCCAACCTACCTGGCAGACTTCTGCAAGTTAGCCCACATTCCAGTGAGCCTCTCCGAAGCCGTCATGGTGCTCTCTGTTATCAAACTAGGGCTAACAAAAATAAATGCGGATGATTTTATGCCTCATAAATTAACTGGTCATGATATTGATACAAAAACCTTGGACTGGCCTACTACAAGTAATCTTAAATTAAAAAAAAAAAGTGGCAGACAAATACTCAAGGAATACAAAACAGTTACGAGCTCTTACAACTTATTCAATCATCACAGAAAGGATCCTTTTTATGTATATGCTACAATACACTTCTCTCTCATATGTGCTCAGATAGCTAGAACTTAACGAAATTGAAAAAACTTATAAGCTGAAATAACTCATGTCAGTTAAAAAATGATTCTTGCTCCGCTAAAGTGCATTCACTGCGCATAGCAGTTTGCTGATGAGTTCGGTCAATTTAATCCGTGATTGATGAAACCCCCCTAACTAACTGCCTTTACTGAAACTTGAGGATTATCACATACATTTGAACAAAACGAATGGCATCGCATTATGTGATGCAGTTGACCAATCGCCTCAAAGGACTAAATACCAGTGCCCCTAACATAAATGCATACATACTAAATTCATTAACATTTTACCTTAGAATCTGACGCCATAAGCCCTAAATGAAAGGTAAATTTCATTGTAACTTTCGTGAACTGATTTTCGAAGTTGCAGCGCGTGCTGTAAATGGGTACTCGTATTTATTGTTGGTGGGTACTAGATTGTAAGTTGCGCATGCGTTAGTTTATATCACTCCGGCTTCCGGGTGGGAGTGAAACTTCTTGGTCCTGTTGTTGCGTCCCTGTTTTAGGTTTTAAATACACTGTCAGCCATGCTATTGATGCTTGAAGATGAGCACAAGGAACACTTGGCCTTCCTGACGAGCGTTGGTCTTGATGGTAAGGGTCATATACTGAAGAAAACGGGGGTCATATTTAGAGACAGGGAGACAATGGGGAAGGGGGGGGGGGGCTGCACGGGTCAGTACACTTAAGTGCACTTTTTTTACTGAGTAAAAAGGATGAAATTAAAGTGTGCAGGTGTGAGATATGCCAGATGATTGCACTAAATTAAAACTTCCCAAATTATGTAACATAACATTTTCTATGGATGTGCGTTCATGTAAATTGATTATGGAATGCGACATTCGTATACATGTGTATAGTCACTGATTTCAACAATTGCTAATCTATATGTATATATATATTTATTTATCTATTTATTTGTCTGTTCTATGTTCTAGCCACTAGTATCGTATTGTAATTGATTGTACCTTTATGTGAAGGTGTTTGTCAATAAAGAATCTGAATCATTATGATTCGTTAACATTGTCCGTGATCAACATGCACAGTAAGTAATTCTGAAACATTAAAATCTTCTGCTTAAATGTTTCAGTGGTCCAAGAATTCTGTAAGATTTCACTGGGGTTTATCAAAAAAGGAAGCAACCCCAAAATGTACCAAGCGGCAGCCTGTAAGTTTGTTTTGTAAAATTTGCTTACTAAGTATTTATTTTTCTACCAAAATTAACTGATTTAATAAAATTAAAGGCATTTGGTTGTGTTGTGTTTATAGGAACTGCAATGTTCAATATGCCTCAGCATCTGCTCAATTTAAGTGCTTGTGCGTGTATGTACATATTTATATTATGTAGAGAACTGGTTTTACAAATGTAGCACAAGTACTCAGTAGACACATCCTTTTCTTTCCAACATACGTAATCACCAGCTTTTCTGTAATCTACTCAGCACCAGGAGGAGTGTTAATCTGTGTGTCTGATTGTATTCATTGAGAGTCCCCATAGAGTTAATGGCTGCAAGCAAGTACCCATAGATTTATTGTGAGCGTACCCTAAGTCATTTTCTGAAAGATAACTATACTGAGATTAAAAATGTACTTTTGAATTTTTTCAGCCAAACTAGGTGTCGATGCAGAGACTGTGATGCACGGTGTAGAAGGTTTAATGTATCTTTTCACAGAAAGCTCAAAACTCATGGTGAGTTCAAGCATTTAAGACCCCCCCCCCCATGCCCCCAGCATCCTCACTTTGACACACTTGTTTTTCAACTTCTAAAATCAAAGTTGAGTGACATAAAAATGGTGGTGCACACATATTGATGGACCGGAAGTTTGACATTAATTTGTGAATTTAACTTCAAATTATATATTTTAGTTCTAATTACATATTTTTATAATGGTCCATAATTATATGATGTCAGTTTCCCATTTTGATACCCAGGTCAATGAGATAGACTTCCAAGACTCCATCATGACTCTGGGATTTCCTGAGGACCTAAAGGGGCTCCTACTTCAGCAATATTTAGAGAACCGTAAGGAGATCAGATGTATTTTGTCTGAGATGTCCATGGATTTACCCCAGTATCACAACTTAGAGTGGAGGTTTGATGTCAAGGTAGATGATGCATGTGTTGTTACTTTGTTAATAGTTTCAGTAGATGTTCATGATACAACACTTTAAACTTGTCTTATTAAAGAAGACATGATCTCCAGTACTTGATGATGATGATAAGCAGAATAAACAAATGTGATTTAATCCCAGTATTCTTTCAACATTTTTCGGTCTCACATGCATTATGTGACTTCTTTTATAACCTCAAAGTGAGTTCAGTAAAGTACTGTCAGAAATGAATTTCATCAGTTCTAGGGTCTAAAAAGGCATTGAAATATTGGATGTAAATAATATTTGAAATACTAGCTCTTGATTGAAGAAAAACCACTGAGCACTTTACTCCTAGTTCTACCATGCTTTCTCGTTCATCTTCCAGCTTGCCAGTCGCTCCCTCAAGCATCAAATAGACCCTACGATATTACTGAAACTGCACATTGCTGACTCTGGTGAGAGGCACACACAAGTCTTACAGACTGACCCCAGTAACTTGGTCCACATGACCAATGTGCTGGACAAAGCCCTGCAGGAGATGAAGTCCCAACACTGCAGGAGGATTGTCCGGAATATTTGACCACTTTGTCTGGAATATAAGACCACTTGGTCTGAAGTATTTGACCATTTGTTCCAGAATATCTGACCTTTTGGTTCAAAGTATTTGACCACATAGTCCGGAATATTTGACCACTTATTGGGGAAAATCAGACGTCCTAGAGTGGAATATATCATCACTTATGTACCACTGTTTTGGATGTTGACAAAAGATAATGAAAAGAGATTCAAGAAGTGACCAGTGTTCATTTAATGATAAATGTGATTTTTTATTAAATTTTTATTTATTTATTTATTTATTTATTTAAGAAATGGGGGAAACACTTTATGGAGTGCTTGATAAACAAAATATCCACTTGCAGTGTAAACTTCTCAGGAGTAATTGAGATCAACAGGCCAAGAAAGTTGTTATTGAATTTCATCAGCTGTTTAAGGAGTTTCAGTTACATGCATTGTTATTCTTCACTCAGCAGAAAATAGTGCAATGATGAATGCATATTAAATTTCTTTGTACAGGATTTTCTGTAAAATACAACTGCAATTATTGGTAAAGAGGCAAATCATTTGTATAAATTGTATAATAATAATAAAATGATTTTTACAAGTAAATTGCATTTCATGACTTATTATTTGAAAGATATAATAAGTTATCTGGGGTTCTCCCACCAATTACAGAGACATGAAACTTTCAAAACTGGCATCATTTTCAGACACAAGATGGACATGCAAAGTTTTTCTGTTCTAGCTAAGATGAAAAAAAAAAAACAAAAACAAGTGTAGAATATGTAACTCAAGTATTGTTTTTTTATTTTCTGAATAACAATGATATTATCATATTGTATTTCCTCTAACATATCAACAATAACAGTCTGCAGCAAGGTCCATATCCAAGAGAAATCAGATGGTATAGTTTATTGCCAATGGCTCTTCTGATCTTACAGTATATTTTTATTATGTGAAGGTACTGGCAATGGAAGACATATAACTGCCTCTTTCATGTGTTAAAATTCACTTGAAACCTACTGAACAGTCTTAACATATTGTAATATCAAGGATGTTACTAGTCAAAAAGTTTAATATGAAAGGTGAAACAGACTAGTGTTGAGTGCTAAGCATTTCTAAAAGGTAGATGGCTGCCTATANTTTCTCGTTCATCTTCCAGCTTGCCAGTCGCTCCCTCAAGCATCAAATAGACCCTACGATATTACTGAAACTGCACATTGCTGACTCTGGTGAGAGGCACACACAAGTCTTACAGACTGACCCCAGTAACTTGGTCCACATGACCAATGTGCTGGACAAAGCCCTGCAGGAGATGAAGTCCCAACACTGCAGGAGGATTGTCCGGAATATTTGACCACTTTGTCTGGAATATAAGACCACTTGGTCTGAAGTATTTGACCATTTGTTCCAGAATATCTGACCTTTTGGTTCAAAGTATTTGACCACATAGTCCGGAATATTTGACCACTTATTGGGGAAAATCAGACGTCCTAGAGTGGAATATATCATCACTTATGTACCACTGTTTTGGATGTTGACAAAAGATAATGAAAAGAGATTCAAGAAGTGACCAGTGTTCATTTAATGATAAATGTGATTTTTTATTAAATTTTATTTATTTATTTTTATTTATTTATTTATTTATTTATTTAAGAAATGGGGGAAACACTTTATGGAGTGCTTGATAAACAAAATATCCACTTGCAGTGTAAACTTCTCAGGAGTAATTGAGATCAACAGGCCAAGAAAGTTGTTATTGAATTTCATCAGCTGTTTAAGGAGTTTCAGTTACATGCATTGTTATTCTTCACTCAGCAGAAAATAGTGCAATGATGAATGCATATTAAATTTCTTTGTACAGGATTTTCTGTAAAATACAACTGCAATTATTGGTAAAGAGGCAAATCATTTGTATAAATTGTATAATAATAATAAAATGATTTTTACAAGTAAATTGCATTTCATGACTTATTATTTGAAAGATATAATAAGTTATCTGGGGTTCTCCCACCAATTACAGAGACATGAAACTTTCAAAACTGGCATCATTTTCAGACACAAGATGGACATGCAAAGTTTTTCTGTTCTAGCTAAGATGAAAAAAAAAAAACAAAAACAAGTGTAGAATATGTAACTCAAGTATTGTTTTTTTATTTTCTGAATAACAATGATATTATCATATTGTATTTCCTCTAACATATCAACAATAACAGTCTGCAGCAAGGTCCATATCCAAGAGAAATCAGATGGTATAGTTTATTGCCAATGGCTCTTCTGATCTTACAGTATATTTTTATTATGTGAAGGTACTGGCAATGGAAGACATATAACTGCCTCTTTCATGTGTTAAAATTCACTTGAAACCTACTGAACAGTCTTAACATATTGTAATATCAAGGATGTTACTAGTCAAAAAGTTTAATATGAAAGGTGAAACAGACTAGTGTTGAGTGCTAAGCATTTCTAAAAGGTAGATGGCTGCCTATAATTTGAAGTAGGCAGGCAAAAAAACTTCATTAAATCATTGTAAATTGCACTGCATTCATCTGTTCTGTTGCTGAGACCATTAAAAATAATTGGTGGCAAAACATCAAAAATAACTATGATATTATGCGATCCACCTCCCAGGAATGAAAGAAATAAGAAAAAAATGAATTTTGATCCTAAAAATTCAATATTTCCTGTCAACAAATTTTTACTGGTTGCCAATATACTAGTACTGTATGTGTTTAGAAGTCTTCTCCTCTACTATCGGGTACTTTTTCCATCCTCATCTCCATTTTTTTTTTTTTTTTTTTTTTTTTTTTCAAATAGTTAAGAGTAGAAAAATCTGAATATGAAAATATATGCAAGGCACAGCTGTTAAGGAAAAATTAGGAAGCCCTTGTACATTTAACAAAGTCAGAATGGTTTAGGTATAACAGTTGTAAGCGTAAGCTTTGGTCCTTAAATTTCCTGTTCTTTTGAATTGGGAACAACACAAATCTTCTGCCATCTTTCTCTTCAGTTTTGAATCTTTGGTCTTGTATTAACATATACATACAAAGCAATCAGAGTCGCTATTGTGAAGAACACTGGAAGCACAACTGTGTATATCCTTTCCTTATTCTTTAAATTGTCCATTCTTCTTTCTCTCTTTTCTTTCTTGTTCTCTTTCACTTTCCCTTTTAGCTGCCTCATCTTTGTAGCTGTCTCCCTTGTAAATCAAGCTGGAAATTATTTTATCTGTAAAAGTAACAAAGACCTTCTAGAGACCTATTGCTGCTATCACTCTACAATAGACTGTGCCAGTAGTGTGTGATTTCTTTTAGCCAAATCAAGGAGTTCTAATTTGTTGGAACTCCTTGGATGCATCAAGCACAGATATAATGTATGTATGCCTACATGGATCGAATTCAATGTTAAATAATAATGATAGTAACAATAAATGAAAAATCGTGCTTGTCATTCGTATATATATCAAGTAAAACTCGAAGACAGGTCTCACATTAAAATCACCCCAGCACTCTACTTTTGTCGTGCCCTTCTTTCAGCGTTACGTGTTCAACAAAGTGTGAAATTAGCAAAAATTCGGACGCATACTAAATATAAAGATAGAAAATCATCCCACGACATAAATGCTGCAAAAATATAACATATAACTATTATTATAAACAAGCTAATGTTCTTTCTTACCTCAAAGTAACTCAATGAAATTAAAAAATAAACGCAGGCCTTAACAGAGAGGAGCAACGTCAGCAGATCCCACAAGCAAAAGAAAGGCTGTCTGCTCACCGGAAGTAAACATGACTTATGTCGTAACAGATGTCGTAAACTGGAACGGCGACCGCCATTTTTGAATACACACAGCGTTGAGATTGTTACAGCTGGTCAAAAAGGTACACATTTCATTACTTTCTGCATTTAATTTGTCCATCTGAGTAATGTGTTTAAAACTCATTTTGTTTACATTGAATTTATATTTCTTAATCAAAATCAGCATGCAATTCCGAAAGTTTACAGCCGATAGCTATCATTTCATTAAAATACTGTCGGTAAACATTGTGACATTGTTGATGTTTTGACAGTGTGAACTTCCACTTCTTCGGCACTTACTGTAGAATGAGGTTCTAGTGAAAGTTGTAATGGCGTGTATCTTATGCTGATAATGATCGCTCGTTATCAGTAGCAGTCTATGGAGTCAGTTTTGAGAGAAAGGGTAAATGTTTTGAATTTTTTGATTGCCTAGTCGTAGAAATTCTATTGATTAAAAAATATAGAAGTATTTTGAGTTACTGATTCATTGTTAATATTTCATCCCCCAACACATTGTAGGATGTCAAAGAGTAAAGTGTCCCGGTACAGACTCAGTCCTAATGAAGTGGACCAGTTGGTGAAGGAAGAGAAACAGAAAAGGAGAATAGCAAGAATAGTGCAGGTAATTGTACTGAAAATAATGGTATTATGATAAAAAATCAGAGAGCTTTTTATTTTAAAAATGATTTGATTAAATTGTCTCCTTTAACTTTTATTACTTTAAATTTTTAATTAATCTTTGTAGTTTTTAATTTTATATACATGTAACATTTATAATCAGGCATGATTTTACAATTGATATTCTGTTCCAGGTCCGAGAGCAAGCCAAAGCTGATGCAGCCAAAGTAAGACAGGCTGTCAAAGATGCCAGAGCAAAAGAGTTGCAGAAACTTGCCGAAGAAATAATGGTATGTTTTTCTACTCTTACTCAAAAAGAAACGGGGGATCTGCCATTTATCAATAATATTTTCATAGATGTGCTTATGACCTGCAACAAACATAAGAAGAAATGGAGATCAGCCGTCCTTCTTTTTAGTTTAGATTTAGAATTTTGTTGTGCTCACATGTTCTATTATTTTGATGAATTTAAAGAAAATGGGCTTTTTCTAAAAGAAAATTCATTTGTCATCTCCTCTAGAAATTTATTATGAAAAATAAGTTTCTTGAATACAGCTCCATTTGCTGAAGTGATGCCAGTCACTTGAGTGTTCTATAAATGATGTATTGTATACATATGGTGTTGACACTGTACGCAGGATATTACAGTGAGCCTTCTTCCTCTCTTTTTTTCAAAGAAATCACTACTTTGGAAATCAGCATTCAACTCGGCTACGGTAATAAATTTCTATTTACTTTTCTATTCATTTCATCCAGGATGAATATGAGAAAGAAAAAGCAGAAAAAATCCATGAGCTGGAGACGCTGTATGAGAACTGTTTGAAGACCATAGGGGAAGGCCACAGGGAGGCCGAGCAGTTTGTGAGTGTTGAAACACCAGGATTGAGGTTATAGATTTTGAAGTGTATAGTCTTTGGTATATCAGGCCTGTATAATGTGTTGATTTTCCAGTTTTGATGTAATGGGGATACTGGATTTCACTATCATAGTGTTTAGTTTAACATCATTTGTAGTAAGTATATATTTGAAAAGTTGATATTTACTTTCAAACCTAGAGTGTGGTTGGTTTACCATAATAATTGTAAAATGAGGGCCTTGAGTTAATTTGGTAGAATTTTTTGACAGGTTCAGTTTCCACGAGCCCTGTCTTTCACTTTTCAAAAAGTAACATATCACAAATTGTTGAGTGTTGTTATTATTTAGGATGACAAAGCAGAGGAAGTGTACATCAAGCTGCGTGAAGACACCAAGATGGCCGACATGAGGCACAAGAAAGCACTGGCCAAAGTGAAACGTGACAAAGCTTTGAAAGATCAGGAAGAGAACAAGCATATAGTGGCAAGGTAACATGTGGAATTTATAATTATTAACTATAAACAAATATTGCACTGTGAGGCCAATATTTTTTTATTTATAAGAAAAGAATTTATTTATTTATTCATTTTTATATATATAATCATTTTAGGAAAGTAGTCTGTTACTACTCGGTAATTTTTTTTTTTTTTTTTTTTTTTTTTTTTTCTGTTAATTGAAATATAAATTTATTGCTTTGAAATAAAGATATATTTATCAATTTATATTGTGTTTGTATTCAGACAACTAGCCCTAGAGCAAGAGAGAGTGAGAGCGGCCATGATAGCCAGTCTTCCCCCTCCTCCCCCAGACCCTCTGGTACTACAACTGGACACTACTAAAGGTGAGAGTTGGGATTCTGCTGCTGTCACACACATGCACGCACGCACACAAACACACACACAGACATTTGCTATCAAGCTCGTAAGAGTAACAGATTCCTCTTACAGAAAAATGTACAAGGTCCAATCCAGTTATATTTGTTCTAGTAATTTTGATATTAATAAATTCTGATTAGTCTAATGATTTTATAATGAACGTTTTTGGAATCCATAACTGAGCCATCAGAATATTCAAATGGTAGTTAGATATATAATTGCAGCACCAATATGTATATACCTATGTGGCATCTCTATCTCCAGTGAAACCAGTCCAGTTGACAGATGTGGATGCTTTCTCCACCACTCATTACCACCTCCAGGAAGACTATATAGTAGACAGAGCAGACAGAGAGGAATGGGTGAGTGAACTTAATATAATGTTTTCTCCACTACCACCTCCAGGAGGACTACATAGTAGACAGAGCAGACAGAGAGGAATGGGTGAGTGAACTTAATATAATGTTTTCTCCACTACCACCTCCAGGAGGACTACATAGTAGACAGAGCAGACAGAGAGGAATGGGTGAGGAGCTGCTGGTATTAAATGTATCTTCATTATATGATAATTGAGCCAGAAATTTTCTTTTTCTGTTGTGGTAATTCATTGAAGTGGTATAATTGTTTCTCCTCTGTGAAGGTTCACTGTTTGTGAAGAACACACTGGTAATCCTGGATATCCTTTTTTGTGTGCAGTTAATATACAGTGGATAATCATTTTTTTATTTCATTTTTTTATTAATTTTCACATATTAAACCATTATTTTCAATGGTTACGTGCTGCCTTCAGTTAAAATGATATAATTTTTTTCATAATGTTAATTTTGAACCCTTGAACACAGTAAGAGTAACTTCAAACTGTAGCAGTTATCTGAACTATATTACGTAAATTTTAGGGAGATGCAAAAGCAGCTGCCACAGAGGAAGCAGAGAGGATTGCAGAACGGCAGCTGAAAGATCTCCGCTCCAACCAGGAACAGACGGAGAAGGCTAGACTTAGACATCAACATGCTGTGCAGCAGGAGATTCTCAAAGAAGTAGGAGGCTGAGAAAACAAGCATTCTTAGCATATTTTAATATGGATATGTTTTCTTGAATTCTTTAGTCTTCTTTGGGGGAAAACAGCTCTTTTGCTCTCATTGGAACTGCTTCAGTTTGCAGTTTCTTAAAATTTTGTATCAAATCAAATTCTGAAACTTGATCAAATTCAATAATGAGCAGACATTTTGGGCTCAATCTGAAACTACAATGAACCATAAGTTTTTTTTCCAATGAAAAAAATCGTCTTGACATTTGCAAATATTCAATCTATTATTAGTTGACTCCAAACAACAGATGGAAAAAAGATTATTTGATGGCTTAAGGAAAGGATTTTGTGCAATTTCAGGACTACAAGAATCTATTGGTTCACCTGGCTGAGCTGGAGAGAGCAGATATACTGAAGAGACAACATCTGGTGGCCAATATCCCAGTAAGGAGATTGAATTTGTTTAATTTAAATAGAAAAAAACTTAAAGTCTATATTACTTGTTTATTTTATTTAAGCTAAGAATTTTTTTAAAAAACCAACACTAATTTCAGCAAAGTTTAAGAAGTTGCCACAAACTATGATGAAAATCACCCACTTCTGTTTTCTAGATTGACATCTGTTACTTAATATCTGATTTTACAGAGAACCTGTTTTTAACTTAGAGCCTACTGTCAACTTCATTGTTCACATTTTGTAGAAGAAAATCTTCCTCCCACCCAGCAAGAGACTTGAAGAGAAGACAGACAGGCAGGGAGGGCTGGAGAGGGCCTTTGAAGACATGTACCTGGCTGAAACAGGTGAACTCTAGTGGGAGACTCGTCTGCTGTTACACACACGCAAGCTGCACGCACACACATAGAGATAAAAAAACAAAAATTAAGAGAAAAATTAAGACTGTATCAGAATGGCAAATTATTCAATACCATGTATCAAAGTTTGTTCAAGTTTAGTTTTCTGTTAACTATTTTGACCAGTAGATTAATTTTTCTGGTAGATTTTACTCAGTTGGTGATGTCTAACCCTTAAACTGGATCAGAATCAGAATAATGCCAGGAACACAGTGATTTATTGCTCTGGTACTGTATACAAGACTTAGACTGCATTCCCAGAGATTTAGATCGATCCATCTGCATTGACCAAACTCCCTGGGGGTTCAGGCTAAATTGCTGTCAGCCAAGCGCACACGGTAGTTAATTACCCCCTTACAGCTTTTAGTAGGCGGGACAGACATTTAAGCCGGCTAAGCTGACAGTTATCTAGTGAAACTCCCCACAGGGTAAGATCGATCTAAAATCTGTGGGAATGGGGTCTTAGACTTGACTTATTTTGACATTACATATTTTCAGACTACACAGGGGACGTAACCCTGGCTCTGGACCCCCACCCCCCTCCTGACTCCCCCTCCACCACAGCCAGCCTGGATTTATCAGAGGTGGAGGAAGGACCCAAGACCTACCCCAGACTGCAGCCTACTCAGACAGGGCCTGAGGCCTACCCTAGGTCTGGGGTCACTCCTCCACAGTCTTACCCCAGGCCACAGGCTGCTGCTTCCAGGGTACCTGCTCTACAAGATGTCACCAATGTCCCTTTAGCAGAGAAAATGAGTCGGGATCAGAAAAATGGTAATAACTATGCTGGGGTAGCGCTAACAATTTTTTTTCGCTTAGCCAAATCACCACATTTTTGTCATTTTGTTACCAAAATGGTTATAATTTGGCTAAAACATGTCAAATCAAGCCCTTTTTCTTTAGCCAATTTAAGTCAATTTTAGCATTTGGCTAAATTGGCGAGTGTTAGCGTTATCCCAGCTATGTCGTCATTTTATTTTAGTATATTTATTTATTTATTTATTTATTTATTTATTTTATTTTTTTTTTTTTTGGGGGGGGGGTCTATCTTTGCCTACATTTTCCCTCATGTCTGTTAGTTCAGTTTTGATGTTTATGAAAATGACATGTAGGCGCCTTAACTTTGTGCTTATTATAAATAAGAAGGGAAAAAAATAAATGTTAATAAAAAGAACGATTTCTGCTTTTCGTTAGATAAACCTGCTGGACAGAAACATACTGCTGATGTTTTAGTTCTTTGTGCATTGAAAATACCTTGCATGAATAACCCATTACAAACTGTCTGTAAAAGACAGTCATCTTCTTCAGCTTGGATATCTTTGAGAACACTGGAAAGATGGGGCATAATCTTTAATGCATGTTGATCTTTTGAACCTTTCTTTTTCTCCATATTCAGAAAGCATGTTGAAAAAGCTGATGGAAAAGATCAAAAGTCAGAGGGACTCCTGGAAGACCAGAGCAGACCTGCCAGAACCAGACTCTGAGACACTCAGAAAACCTCTGAAGACATCAGGTAGGTGTCTTTCCTGCAACAGGCAACTGATGATTTAACATATTGGCAAAGTTGACATATATTTTCGAACTTTAGGAATAAATGTCAGTTATTTACTCTGGCTGATATCTGGAAGTCAAAATATAAACTGAAGGCAAAAGTCAGCAGTTGTCCTATTTTATATTGTAATGCTTTAATGTCAGCTGTCCACATTGATTTCAAGTTGCAACATTTCTGTCATCAGATGTTGTCATCTGATTGATGATATGCTATTGTCTTGAGTTCTTTGGTAAATCATGTCCTAAGAAAACAGTGGAAGTACAGTATTAAATAACAGAATGGTGTATTTTCCCCAGAATCCTCTAGCTCAGGTGTCACCTCAACGGCCACCCTATCCCAGCATACCATCACCAGCAACTCATCTGAAGATGGAGCCACAGGTCCTCAGCCACACACTGACGTAGGTGGCTTGGATGTGCCAAAGCAAACAGATATGGATGTTCCTGAATTTCAAGAGGAGCCTATCCTGGCTGGCAGTCCAGAAACACTGCGTCATCCACTGGAGGAAGCAGCCAGAATGCGTGCACATGCGGCACGGCAGAGGGCGGAGGTAGAAGCGAAGCAGCAGGTAGCAATAGTCCTGAGATGTTTAATTTGCACCAGTTTATCAGTTCTGTGTGCTAAAAAAACTGTAGGTGGTTTTTGTTTAACAAAAAACATTGTTATTTCTTGTGTGCATCTTTGTCATGTTAAATTGTTCCAGGTTCCAGCAACAGCACCACCTGTGGCTGATAAGGAAGTGCCAACAGAATTGATAGCCGAGACCAACAGAAAAATGGAGGAAGAAGCTGCACAACAGCAAGAACATCTGAGGTAAAATAATCCACTGAGAATAAATGTAGACTTTTTATATAAACTTTCGTCAGAAAGGGGGATACTTTATGTTCCCAATGCTATCTTTTTAATTAGTTGTCCATTTGAAGAAATGTTCACTTCATTTTTACAGGCAACAAAGACTGCAACTGGAGCAGTATATCAGAGAAATAGAAGAGAGGAAGCAGCAGCTGGAAGATAGAAGAAAACACTTGGAGGAGAGAGAAGGAATTGAAACGGGTATATATGTAGTTTTATTGTCATTTTAAGAATAATAAATAAGCTGGGATTTGAATTTTCTTAGTGTGTTTAACTGCAAATTATGTTCATAGTTGGTGTTGATTATATTAAGTACTTAACTGATGGGATAATTGCCAGAATGTTTTTGGTCTTTAGTTCTTCAAGACAACTACAGAGAATTGGCTGGCCAAAAGCAGAAACAAAAGCCAGTAAATAACAAAATTGTACAGAATTTAATTGATCTAGGTTCAGTGTAACTGGTCTTGAGTGTGGGCCCAATGTAATAGATGAGAATTTGTCTTTTTGTTCATCAGAGCCAACACCAGCCCAGTCAACACCAGCCCAGCCAACACCTGCCCAGCCAACACCAGCCAAACCAACACCAACTGACCCTAAAACACAGGGAGCTGAAGACAGAAGAAGCCCTGCAGGTTATGAAGCTTACAGGTACACAGATACAACTGGGGATGTCGGGGCACAACCATCACCTCAACCTCTTCAACCACCTGGTGGCCTTCCACAACCAGATCAACCACTTGGCGAAGACCAGACCTCTTCAGACAAGGAGGAAAAGCCACAGTCAGACAAACAGCCACCTACCAGTGGACTGAGCAGTGCCCCAACTTACCTGCCTTCCCTTTATGCTGATAGGAGTGAGGAGCAGGTGGGAAAGATCAGAGATTATCAGAGGCAGCTGTTGGAGAGGCATGCGCAGGGCAGGGCTGAGTTAGAGGCCCAGAGAGGGGCACTGGAGAGGAGACGTGAGGCCCTGATGGGGAAGTATCCAGGTGAACTAAATTTGAACAAAATTGAGTGATTTCTTGTCCATGTTTTGTCAGTAAAGAATTTTTTTTAAATCCTGAAACTGAGTTCTGTTAGTGTTAGAAAGCTAAATTTTGTGTGAAACAAAAACAAGTTGACAGACCACCAGGTTACAGATGGTGGTGTTTGTTTTCTAGGTTGTTTATGACACAAGTGGTTTATTTTTAAAACCAAAACATGAGGACATAGACCTTAGAGAGATGCTCGAACTATTATGTTCACAAATTTCATCATGTCAAATTTTTTACTGGTGTGGATTATTTGCAGGACTTGGATTCAGAGATATTGAGACCAAGGGAAAAGGTCAGCAGCCTCCGGTATCTTCTCAAGTCCCTCCCTCTTCTACTGTAACCAGGCAACCACCTGTGAGCCAGCCAATTGAAAAGCAGTATCCAAGTGTGTCTTCAGCCTCAATCCCTCCCATTTCTGCTGTAACCAGGCAACCAGTAATGAGTCAGCCAATGGAAGAAAAACATATCCAAGTCCCTGTGTCACATCAACAGCAACAAGAAGAGCAGTCACCAAAACAACAGAAAGAAATACACCAGCTCCAGCAGGAAAGATTACGTCAGCAGCAACAGCTGATCCAACAACAACAACAGTTGAAAGAGCAGCAACGACTGTTGGAGTTGAGGAAACAGGAGCAAGAGAAACTCCAGCAGCAGCAGTTTCTTAAAGCAAGACAGCCAGAAGAGCCACAGCAGCAGCAACCTCTCCAAATGCCTTGGCAGCCTGGATATCAGCTCCCACCCCCTTCTCTGCTCCCCAGGTCAGAGGCAGTGCCGTTCGGCCAGGGTGTTGTGTACAACAGGCAGACAGGGGAGCTGATCCAGACGGCAGCTCTCAGCTCACAGGGGACAGGAGATGAGGAGGAGGAGGAGGGGAGCAGCTCAGAGTGGAGCAGTGGCCGCCAGATGGCACAGCAAGTACCCTCTCCCACATGGAGACAAGGTGATCAGAACCCTAGGCTGGAACACCTGAAGCAACAGCTGGAGGCCATCAGAGCAGAGAGAGAGAGGGTGTTACTCCGCCAGCAGCAGTCAGAGGAACAGCTACGCCAGCAAAGGGAAAGGTACCAGCGTCTTTTCCCTAACAGTGCACAGAAGCTGACACCTGAAGAGCCCATGCAGCCTGACCATGTCCCAGATGAAGATTGGCCTGGTTTGGGTCCAGTTCACAGATCTAGTATGCTTGGTGAAAGGACGCTTGGAGGGCAGGGTGAAAGGTCACTCAGTTATGGCATTGAGCAGAGGTCAAGTCTGCAAGGTGAAAGGTCACTGGAAGACCAAGGTGAAAGGTCACCAGAAGGTCAAGTTGAAGGTCAGGTGTATAGACATTCCAAAGTGAGAGGACCACCTCCAGTAGTGAAGAGGGTTGGTTTCACGGAGGATTCCATGGCTCACGAGTTGAGCACCATACAAGAGGTGGATACTCCAAGGAGTGTGAGGTCTGGAGGAGGCAGGAGTGTCCTCGGTTCACCTTTGACCCCTCAAGGTCAACCTCCCACACCTCAAGGTCATCCCTTCAGATCTCAAGGTCAGTGGGTGCCTGGGGTCAGCACAGTGATGCCAGTGCCTCAGAGATCTGTAGACAGGCAATATCAGCAGTGGGGCAGTCTGCTAGCAGGAGGCGCTGATTTACAACAACAAGATGAGCCCATCCATGCACAAGTAACTAGGTCCGATGGGAGGAGTCCCCCAGCTCCCCCAAGATTTCTCTCCCAAGGTGCAGGTGCCCTGTCTGCTGTGGCTCCAGTGAGTCATGGAGTTCCAGCTGAGGCTGGAGAGCTGCCTTTGTATTCAACTGATGTTGGGAGAGGAGTGCTGTTGTATCCTGACGCTAGGGTAATTCTGTTGAAGCAGAACACTACTGAATCATAATTTGATTGCAGTAGGTGCATGGCTTGTAAATGCTGTAATATGCTGTGCAAACCCATGTGTTGTTATGCCAATGTTTTGTTACTTAATATTTGGCATGCAGTAATTGCTCTTATTAAAAAAAAAACTTAAATTAATTTTCTCCACTGAAGATATTTCTGAAAAGTTATTTGAATCTGTGTAAGATTGTATATTGTTGTGAGTGTCTGAAAATGATAAGTCAAGAAAGTGTAAAAAAATACAATGTTTACAGTAATTGTTGAACCATCTTCCAATAAGTATTAATAGATGGACTTTGTTAACAGCCTCAGGTGCCAGAGCACCCCCAGGGTGTGACCAGGGGAGTAGACCATAGTGGACGGCCAGGGTCAGTGTCCAGCAATGAGAACACCATTTCTACAGGTACATTTTTACATTTCTACAGGTTTTATTACATACATAATTCTAGAGATACCTAGTTATTGATGAAAAGGGGTCATGCTCATTTAGACAAACATTAAAGAGCAATTGTCAGTATTGGGTATTGACAATTATTTTCTTGGAGGTCTTTGTCCATTTTTTCAATGAGATTTTGATGCACAGTTTATACAAACTTCAACCCCAAAGAAAGGAACTTGTTCTCATTTCAAGTGTGCCCCTCCTGTTGATTTTCAAAAACATGCAAAGTGAAAGCTATTGGCATAAAAACTGATTTTCAACAGATTGAGCATTTGTTTCTGTTCCAGGACCTGTGAGCAGTGAAGAAAATCTTCTGACTGACCCACAACAAGAGTTTCACAGACAAGACGAAAGTTACAACACCCTGGCCCCCCTGAAACCTGACTCCTCACCTGGCTCTCTCAGCACACTGTCACAACAGTACACTAGGGGGCAGGATGTGACACCAGCCAAGACAGACCAGTCCCCAGGTTCAGAAGGATCAAAATTTGGTGTGAATAGAAGGGAAATTGAGGGGGCTGATAATAGGCTCTATCACCAACAGCCTTTCCCAGGCGCATCTCCTAACTATGAATTAGACAGTTACAAACAGTTTGTAAGCGGTGTTCACAAGCCCTCTGCAGCCGATGTGTCGTATTCCCAGTATAGGGACAAACATGGCAGTCCACAAGGAGCTGATGTCGCACATGCACAGTATGATGATAAATACAGTGGTGGCCTACAAGTACAGCCTGGCTTGCCACAGTTTCCGTATGGTAATTCTGTGGGCAGTGGGACGTATGGTGCCCCACAAGGCAGACTTGGTTCAGAACCAGCACTGCCTGACTCTCCTCATTACCCACAGTATAGTGGACCAGAACAAGGGGGAGGGTACAGTGAGACATGGGGACGGTGGGGGGACTTTTCAAGAACAGAAAACGGTGCCGTTCCTGCCACTGTGGCTCCCACTGGAGGCGTGTCCTCTGTCACTGAACCTGCCATGGTTGGGGCGTATGGAGGTATTGGAGTCATGCCCTCTCTCCCACAGTACCACCAGTCTGGCCTTAGACCCTCCTTTTCTCCTACAATTGGAGGCAGGTCTGCCTTGGAAGAAAGAGAGGTAGTGGACAGCAGCAGTCTTAGCTATTACCCCATCACCCCTTCTGTGGACTCTGGTGGTATAGATATGACCAGTGGTCAAGGCCAGGGTCAAGGTCGTGATGACTCTCAGCACAGCAGGAGCTATGATGTGTATCATGCCCAGATGGAAATGTCCAGAACACAGCCCACGTCTTTCCCCTTTTTACAAAAGGGTCTTTATCCAAGTGTAGACTCTTCTTTTGATCCTGGGATTCCTTCTGTTAAAGAAGGCATTGTCTCTGGCGAGCTGAAACCTCTGGCAGCTGAACACTCCCTCACATCTGATTTAAGTGGTCTTGTGCCTCCAAACAAAGCGGCCATTGTGCCTGATGCAAATCTTGTGCAATTGTTCAGCACCAAGGACAACTTGGTATTGCATGGGACACAGGGAATGGGAAAACCAGGTGGTAAAAATGCATCTTTCCTCAGCGATGTCAGCCAGCATCCTCTGACCAGTGACATATCAGAGGCAAGTCAGTACCCATTGTCAGGCTTCCAAGAGGAGCCGTCAGTGTACATGCAAGACGATCCCAGTCCTGCCGCAGGAAGTCACACCCCAGGTCACAGAGTGCACAGTGAGCCAGAACCACAGACTGTGGACTGGACACAGCTACAGCAGCAGAATACAGGCTTTGGCAGTTTAAGCCCAGTACATGCAGAGTTCGAAGAGATTGGGCAAAGTTCCAGAGGCATTGTTTGGTCACCAGGTGGAGACAGTGATTTGTATCCACCAGAGGGCAACAGAAGTTTCACCTCACCAAGAGGAGCTATGCTTCCTCTTAGAACCGTCTCACTGCCAGAGCAGTCCATGTCCACTATGGTCAGTGACTTTAGCCACCGTTCCCTCAGCCAGCATTCCTTGACCGGCATGGACGATACTGACCAGTTCACCACAGCTGGAGAACACAGAAGGGAAGCTGAACCTGTCAGTGTGATACCAAGTCAGTCCGAACTGCTACTACTGCAGGAAGGGTATTCACCAGGGGCTTTGATCATTGGTACCCAGGAACAGAGAGATTTAAGTTCTAATAACAACAACAGCAATATTGAGCAAGGTGTGAGGGAACTCTTTACTGAAACATGTCCTCCTACTTCAGTCTCATTGGAGCCATCACAGGTTAATACTATGACAGCTGTTGACGGCAGGAGTGACCAATGGAACGTCTTTTCTAAGTCAGAAAGATCATCTGCAGCGGAAAATATGGATGATAGGTACCAACAGCTCCTGTTGCAGGCAAGAGAGTTAAACCAGCAACTCAGACAACAGTTGGGAACAGAACAGACTGATGACCTTGACCAAAAGGCCAGTGACCTTGACCCAGAAGAGAATTCTGCCTCCACAGATAGAAGAGCCGATGAAGAAGCACCAGCAGAAAGGAGAGTTTCAGAGAAGTACGAGGCACTGGTGGAAGAAGCCAGACTCTTGAAGAACAAACTACTGGCTGACATGAGGCATGATGGACGAGGGTCAGTAACGTCCAGTCAGGACACGTCCATCTGGTCAAGTCATCCACAGGATGGCCAGGAGAAGCCTGGAGCATGGCATAGCTTGGAGGTGAGTTGAGGAATGGGGATTGAGAAAGAAGGGGATGCTAACACACTCTCTCTCTCACATACACACACACACGCACACACACACCCTAGATAACAAGTTTTTTTTTTTTAGCAGGATAATATTTCCTCATCCTCTGGTTTCAGGAGATGACTGGTATATCAGAGGAGCCGGATCTGACTCTGGTGTCCCTCGTGTCTGAACCCGCCACTGCTGACTCCTCCGTGCATCTGGACCAATCACTCAGCATGGAGGATTCACTGCGGTCCTTCCAGCAACATGAGATGAGAATAGCCTCAGCTGAAGCAACTCCTGGGCAAGGTGGGGTAAGAAGAGATGGGTTGGAGATTATACCCCCAGCAGAGGGTGGTGGAGCTGGGTTGGAGGGTTCATCATCCTGTCCGATAAGGGCAGTGGAAGGTATGTATATCATACACACTCATACTTTCTGTGCAAGATTTCAGCAGGGAAGTCAGAATATAAACCCCATATCCTCTTCAGTGCTTTTCCCCTTTAACATTGAATTTGTTTCAATTATCATGTTGAATGTCATGACAAAGTGGCATTTAAGCAAATTCTGTCTCCCTCAATAGAAGGGCTCCTGGTTATTATGTGTCAATTTCTACTAGAAATGTGGTTTTCTGTGAAAGCTCTCGATTCCATCTCAATGTAAAGATGTGTTTCTACCATTGCAGAAACTAACCGAGACCGCAGAGAGGCTTCGCTACAGGAAGCCTTTGCCAGAAAGAGGCCAGATTTTGCACAGAAGTCCAAGGAGAGGCTGCAAGCTATCGAGAGTAAAAAAGATGCCAAAGCGCTGACAGGGGGCCCCACTGCAGCAAGGAATGCCCAGCTTGCCAAGACAGTCTCAAGCTGGAAGAAATTGCGTAGTGCTAAAGGTACAGTCGTAATGACTCGATCTTTAAAAAATTATCAGTCATTCAGGAGCATATTTTTGTAATAATTTAAATATATATTTATTCCTATGTAGCATTTGTGGTGCCTTAACTACATAAAATAGAACTATAGAGTAGCCAGTTTTTCAATTTTGTTGCTTGCACTCAATAGGGAGGTTGTAATTTTAATAATGTATGGCTTTAAAAAATCAGTATCTGTAAAATTTACAATTTTCCCCCATTTTTTTTTTTTCTTTTTTTTAATTTCATGATTATTTTTATAACTGGTTTTAGTATTATTATTCATAATTTCAGCCAGTGAAAAGCAGCAGTCACCCGTCCAGAGCCTAAAGCCCAGTGAGGGCAGGGTCCAGGTGGTCACTAAGAGCACCACTGACCGCCAACAAGACGTCAAGGCAATGTATGACAGGAACAGAAGGTTGGTTCATTTTTCATTTAATTGGGAACTCTGGCTTTTTCACTTATTTAATGAGTTTTCCCCATTGAATTTTTTTTTTAAATAATTTTTTTAGTCCGATTTGTTTACCGCATATGATTCATGTTTGTTATTTATACTGACAGACTGTATGAAGGACTGGAAGAGGTGAAACAGAAGAAAGCGGAGAAGGAAAGAGAGGACCAGAGGAGAGTTAACAGACAAAGAGCCAAAGAATTCCAGAAAGTAAGAAGTGAGATTTCTTGGTCAAATTTACTAATTTTTGTCAGTGAGAAAGAAGTGCATATCCTAAATCCTGTCTTTGATTAAGAATAATTGCAAAATATATTTAATTTTCTTCCAATGCAGAAAACGCTGGCAAAAATAAGGAAAAAAGAAGGCGACAGCAGCAAAGAGTGAAAGGTTATTGCACTGGTGTTCAGAAACTTGTCACTGACACGTGGCAGACGCTGATAGACAGCCGAACCTGAGGGTCAGGGCTCAAGGCCACGTTGTTTGAAACAATGACTGACAAGAAAACAAAACCCTAGGGCAAGTCATCAGAGACCTGGTTGGCTGGAGGCCTGTTGCCCGAGGCCTGTCCTTGCTATTCATGGGAAATGGTCAACAGGGAATGTGATCACAGAGAACGTGAAAGCTCCTCTGGGGCAGGCTTCAGGGGTAAAAATGAGGCCGAAACTTTTGGAATTGAAATTTTTGTCTTACTCATTTTTAGGTGAATTTGTAGTAACTAAAGTTTAATAAAAATAAAGTTACTATTGCTCTTTAACTGTAGTCGTTTCTTCCTTGTTGACATGCAGATGCAAGCTTGAATAAAGTTTACCACTCCGACCACAGACTCATTTACCTAGTAGATTATGTGGTTTCTCTGTACATTGTACTGAGAATTCTACATTTTTCCCTGTCGATTTAAAGGTATAGTCTGGTGCACATCTTCGTTACTGGCAAACACTGATAAATTCAAAACTCTCAACACAAATGCCTTTCTGCTGTCATTTTTTTTTAAAACTTTTCTTGGAAGCGACGGGTTTTCATTGGAGCCGGTATGAATCAACACGAAATTCGATTGTTTTACTTGAATGTCATTAAACGTACTTACTAGTCACAAAACCAGCATTACATTGGGTACCAGGAAAGGTCATCATCTTGTTATTTAACAATTTCTACTGTCTCCCGGGTTTGGTATTCAAATGAAATCTTTATCACAGAATAGTGCAGAACAGTTTCATTAGCTATGTTATTGTAATAGACTTGTGAAGATTCTTTTGTCTATAGCTATTTATATTAGTTTGATCAAGGAGTTATATCTGTTATAACTCCTTGGTTTGATCTTACCATTCAGTATCCAGATGAAATATTGGATGGTAAGATCAAACTAATATAAATAGCTATAGACAAAAAAAAGAATCTTCACAAGTCTATTTATCACAGAAGAATTTCATCAGCTGTGTTATGTTAAAACCTGGATAGCTTCATGCCCCAATGAAGATGCTCTGTTAGACATCGAAATATTGCAGGTAAGCTATTTCAATATTAAGCTGTTGATTGAAGACAAAGTAACTTTATTCTTTGAAATCTTTATCAACATCACGACCTACGGAAACGGTATCGTGTTACCCATTAGTTTGCTGTTAGAGCGAGGAGATAATGTATTGACGGTGTACGTTTACAACACAGATGGTATTTTACGGCGTTTAAATCTCGGGTGATGTTTGTGGTTGGGTTGACAGTACAGAAAATACATTAGCTGTCTTTAAAAGACATGAAAAATGTGGTTGGTAGGGAGGGGGTAAAATTGATCTACCCTCCCTCCCTCCCCTTTTGACCAAACTTTTCAGAGAAGAAAAAAGGTCAAATGTTGAATCAACGAATGTAAAAAATTAAAGTTTGTGGTAAAACGCGTTAAATGAATTCATTCTGATGTATAGTTTAAAAATAAAAGTGTGGACTAAAATGCTACTTTCAGCTTTCAAAGGTATAATTCCGGTCAAGGCAGAGGAGAGGACAGCACCCCATTGAAATGAGAATTTTTAAAAATCTAATATTTTGTCTATTTATTAGGTCCCTTATCTGTTAGCCATGTGGTGATGTTAAGAAATTGTTAAAAAATGTTGTAAAGCAAATGACGCACACTTTCGACAATTACAAAACAATTTAAACAGAATTAAATGTGTAGGAAGTTATCGAGTGCAATGTAAATGTCTTAAAGTGTCAACGAGTGTAGAGACTGTTCTCGAAGCAAGAAAGGGTGGAACGTTTCAGAGTCAGATATAGTTGGATCTTATTGGTTAATTTTTCTATCCATTTGCACGTTTTTAACAACACGTAAAACTCATGCATACTCGAGTTGGACAAGATCCAAAATGAGTAATTCGGGAAATATTTTAAATAATAAGCAAGTCTCATTTAAATTACTAAAATTAGGAAATTTTGAATAGAGTTTTGTAATATGACAATGGGAAATTCTTTGGGAAAATAGAATATAAATACTTGTAGATTCTGTAAAAGAGTGAGTCGGTGAATAAACGTTTCAAAGCTCCAGACTGCTGTCGTCATTCCTCATTATAACAGTGTTAAGAAATCCAATCTACATCTTTTTGACTGAGACACCCCATAAGTTACATATCACGATACATATCCACCTGAACTGTTATCAGCAGATACCGGTAGTTCTTTTTTCTCAAGCGTACATTGGCCAAAATTATGAATGAAATGTATAAGAATACATTAAAATTAACAATAAAAAACAAAAACTGAATACCTAAAAATTTATTTGTGTTTCTTTTTCTCTTACATAACTTCAAGAGAATATATTAGTTCTGCTTATGATGAAGATGCGAGCACTGCCTAACCACTACTGCTAGAAGCAGCCTTGAAGCCGACAGGACGAACTTTCATCTCCGTTGTCTTCAGGGAGTGGAAGTGCCCTTTAAATGTCTTCCAGTTGACGCCATCAGCGTACGAGCTGTGATCACCCAGGTGGTACAGGCCGTTCAGATTGGAATGGTGACAATTGTCATACCACCAAGCTCCCTTGAATTCCTGTGCACAATTCCTTGCATATGCATCGTTATCTCTGTCCTTTGTGGTGAAAGCATAGCCTTTATGGAGTTTCAGAGAATCCCCTGAAATATGAAATAAGTTTTAAAAAATGGATTCAAGAATAGCATAAAATAGAAGGTAATTTGCTGTATTGAAGGAAGTGTTTTATATTTTTTCAAATGAAAACAAAATGGTACAGACTCGTCAAAAGTTGGTGTACTCTATGAGATAGCAAGATCCTAGCACACAGTGTCAGTGAAAAAGGCGTCACAATCGATAAGTGGCAAGGTACAGTGTAAGTACAATGTTATTATGCTGTGACGGCGTGCTTGTATTCGACAGGCCATACGTTAAACCCAGACATACACACCAAAACCGTACACCATGTAATTTTAGAAAATTCGAATGACAACAAAATGTGTGATTATATAGCATTTCAAATATGTCTTATTTATTAGATCCTAGTGTATTATGTGTAAAGGTTTGCAGTGTTTTCATTGGTTAATATGCACACAAATTACAGAGGTTAAGTGCCTACCCGCGTTTCCAGAGTAAGTCCCAAGAGTCAACTGGTACTTAGCTCTTTCCGACGCTATAGCGAAGTGGTCGTAATTGGCGTAACGCCAAACGCCATTGGCGTCTTCCAAGTCAACACGCAGCTCGTACCGTCTTTGGTTAGTGATGACATTAATAAAGTCATTCCCTGTGGAAAATGGATTGTTATTCAAATCCCCTAATTTTCATTCTTATTTTTCAACAGAAAATACATTTCCTTGAAATGGCGATAAACTACTACTCATTTTGTGGTATGGAGAGTTCATAATGACAAAAGTAGGCAGATGTAAAATATTTATGTTTCGTACAATATTTACACACACCGTCGACTGTTCCTGTAGTATATATTAGTTTTTAATTCAAAGGATATTTCATAAAGACAATGAAGAATCAAATACAAAGATAACGAAGAATGCTTCATCGTGATACATTTGAAGTAATTTTTCACATTCAAATTGCATTTTATTTATTTTCAAAATTCCTTACATTTTGTTATATGAACATTATGAATATTACCTAACCAGTGTTCTCCATTCAGATTTCCAAAACCATGCTTGTAGGACTGCCAGCCACGGTAGAAGTCCACTGAACCGTCCATGCGCTTCTGGAAAACCTAAAAATTGGAAAAAATTACCTATTGTTCAACAACAGAAAAGAAACTTTTAACGGTAAATATGAAATATTCATCATTATTTTGACAATTATGAATGTTTCGAGAGTTAGGGTTTAGGATGCATATATATATATATGTATATTCATTAAATTGCATCTCACACACAAAAGAATTTCGAGGCCACAAGAATGTCTTAAATCAGCAAAATATTTTAAAAAGACTACTGCCTCTCATTTGAAAGATATTGATTTAATAAAACTATTGAATCAAATTTTACTGTCCATCCTCCTCCGTCAGTGGTCATGTCACAGTAGACGTTAAATGCGTTCGGACTGTTATCAGGTGTTATAGTATACACCCCGTTCAACTTCACTCCGTTCTTGTACAATTCAGCGCAGTCCCGACCACTTGCTGTAATAAGACGTTAGTGTGTTCTGCTATATTCATACTCCATCATATTCCTATGCCATTTTCTCGAACAGAGATATTTGTAAAAGAGGACATGTATGTTTGTTTCCCAAAAGACGGCTGCACAAATTTACCAAAACATACTGATTAATTATACGCTATAGTGAATATGACATCTGTACAAAGTGCAACTTACCACCTTGATTCTCTGCGGTGAAGTTTGCAAATTTGACCTGTAAAGTTGTTGTCGCCAGTAGAAGCTTAGAATATTTGTCCACAAGATCATCGCATCTGCTTTCTAACTTCTTATTGTTCTGCTTCAGATCTTTCAGGTCGTTCTTAAAGATGTCCAGCATGTCATCGTACCTGTCTTCCAAGCGTTTCAGTCGATCATCGTACTTGTCTTCTAACTTCTTATCGTTTTGCCTAAGATCTTTCACATTATTCTTCAGAACGTCCAGCAGGGTGGATGTTACTGAACACTGGGACGGGAATGAGTTCTGTCTGAATGATGAATTTCGTTTCAAAGTTACGTGTTTTCTGAATTGGACAAATTGCATCGTAAAACTGATAACATTATGATTCCATTTTTTTATCATGGGACTGCCACTTTAATGTTCGCCTTCCGCATTGATGATTATTTATGAATATTTAAAAAATCTATATGATTAATTGAAACTAAAAACATGACCATCTTTTATAATGTAGGTTGTTTAGATGCAAAAGTAGAAACAGACTTTATAGTTTACTTTCAATATTTACTTGTATGTATTGAATTGATAGAAAGAACCTCTAGCAACTATACCTACAAACAACTGTGTAAAGCAAACCTACATAATAATCTTTTTAGACAAATCAACAGATAATTTGATGAAACAGTACGCCCGCCATTCTGCATAAATACAAAATATAATTTTCAGTAATAAATGACTTACGCAGGAACTCCTACAGTAGCGTCAATAAGACAGAGTAACATAACGGCGTGACTCAACTCCATTGCTCTTTACGGTGTAAAAATGTAACAGAAAAACGCTCATCCAATCTTGTCAGCAATATTTAACTGTCATCATGTCACACAGCGTGGGTGATGGCATTCGGAGTAACCGGATTCCATCCTCATATGTCTTGACGCAGCCTCAGTGCATCAACAACTCGAACTTCAACTGTTTCAATTGGATGTGTTTTTAACGTCACTTATCTGATATTCACTCATCTGTCCCAAAACGAGCTTAAGTTATCATCAAGTGGGATGCGAGACGCCCCCCCCCCTCCCCCCCCCCCCCCCAATTCCACCACCTTCAACTATTTCTATAACTGTCTCCAGGACATAGATCTCAGATGGAATCTTTATCAACGTTTGCGGTGTAGTGTTACCATTACAGTTTGCTGTTAGAAAGAAGAGATAAATGTATTGAGGGTGTACGTTTACAACATAGAGGGTCTTTTGCGTCGTTAAAATCTGAAATGATGTTTGTGGTTAGGTCTGCACTACAGAAAATACATTGGTATTCTTTAAAAGATATGAAGCATGAGGGCGGTAGAAAGGGGATAAAATTGATCTACCCTCCCTCCCTCCCCTTTTTGACTAAAATTTTCATAGAAGAAAGGTCAAATGTTGAATCAACGAATGTAAAAAATTAAAGTTTGTGGTTAAACGCGTTAAATGAATTCATTCTGATGTATAGTTTAAAAATAAAAGTGTGGACTAAAATGCTACTTTCAGCTTTCAAAGGTATAATTCCGGTCAAGGCAGAGGAGAGGACAGCACCCCATTGAAATGAGAATTTTTAAAAATCTAATATTTTATCTATTTATTAGATCCCTTATCTGTTAACTATGTGGTGATGTTAAGAAATTTTTTTAAAATGTTCAGAAATCCAATCTACATCTTTTTGACTGAGACACCGCATAAGTTACATATCACGATACATATCCACCTGAACTGTTATCAGCAGATACCGGTAGTTCTTTTTTCTCAAGCGTACATTGGCCAAAATTATGAATGAAATGTATAAGAATACATTAAAATTAACAATAAAAAACAAAAACTGAATACCTAAAAATTTATTTGTGTTTCTTTTTCTCTTACATAACTTCAAGAGAATATATTAGTTCTGCTTATGATGAAGATGCGAGCACTGCCTAACCACTACTGCTAGAAGCAGCCTTGAAGCCGACAGGACGAACTTTCATCTCCGTTGTCTTCAGGGAGTGGTAGTGCCCTTTAAATGTCTTCCAGTTGACGCCATCAGCGTACGAGCTGTGATCACCCAGGTGGTACAGGCCGTTCAGATTGGAATGGTGACAATTGTCATACCACCAAGCTCCCTTGTATTCCTGTGCACAATTCCTTGCATATGCATCGTTATCTCTGTCCTTTGTGGTGAAAGCATAGCCTTTATGGAGTTTCAGAGAATCCCCTGAAATATGAAATAAGTTTTAAAAAATGGATTCAAGAATAGCATAAAATAGAAGGTAATTTGCTGTATTGAAGGAAGTGTTTTATATTTTTTCAAATGAAAACAAAATGGTACAGACTCGTCAAAAGTTGGTGTACTCTATGAGATAGCAAGATCCTAGCACACAGTGACAGTGAAAAAGGCGTCACAATCGATAAGTGGCAAGGTACAGTGTAAGTACAATGTTATTATGCTGTGACGGCGTGCTTGTATTCGACAGGCCATACGTTAAACCCAGACATACACACCAAAACCGTACACCATGTAATTTTAGAAAATTCGAATGACAACAAAATGTGTGATTATATAGCATTTCAAATATGTCTTATATATTAGATCCTAGTGTATTATGTGTAAAGGTTTGCAGTGTTTTCATTGGTTAATATGCACACAAATTACAGAGGTTAAGTGCCTACCCGCGTTTCCAGAGTAAGTCCCAAGAGTCAACTGGTACTTAGCTCTTTCCGACGCTATAGCGAAGTGGTCGTAATTGGCGTAACGCCTTACGCCATTGGCGTCTTCCAAGTCAACACGCAGCTCGTACCGTCTTTGGTTAGTGATGACATTAATAAAATCATTCCCTGTGGAAAAATGGATTGTTATTCAAATCCCCTAATTTTCATTCTTATTTTTCAACAGAAAATACATTTCCTTGAAATGGCGATAAACTACTACTCATTTTGTGGTATGGAGAGTTCATAATGACAAAAGTAGGCAGATGTAAAATATTTATGTTTCGTACAATATTTACACACACCGTCGACTGTTCCTGTAGCATAGATTAGTTTTTAATTCAAAGGATATTTCATAAAGACACTGAAGAATCAATTACAAATATACAGGGGGTAACGAAGAATGCTTCATCGTGATACATTTGAAGTGATTTTTCACATTCAAATTGCATTTTATTTATTTTCAAAATTCCTTACATTTTGTTATATGAACATTATGAATATTACCTAACCAGTGTTCTCCATTCAGATTTCCAAACCCATGCTTATAAGACTGCCAGCCACGGTAGAAATCCACTGAACCGTCCATGCGCTTCTGGAACAGCTTAAAAATATAAAATATATCATTATTGTTCAACGGCAGAAAAAACACATTTAACGGTAAATATGAAATATTCATCATTATTTTGACTATTATAAGTGTTTTGAGACTGAAGGTTTGGGATGCATGTACATATATATTCATTAAATTGCATCTAACACACAAAAGAAATTTCGATACCAAAAAACTAAAAAGTCTAAAATCAACCAAAATATTTGAAAAAGAGTCCTACTGTCTCTCATTTGAAGTATATTGATTTATTATAGCTATAATCTTACTGTCCATCCTCCTCCGTCAGTGGTCATGTCACAGTAGACGTTAAATGCGTTCGGACTGTTATCAGGTGTTATGGTATACACCCCGTTCAACTTCACGCCGTTCTTGTACAATTCAGCGCAGTCCCGGCCACTTGCTGTAATAAGAAACGACACATTCCGTTATATTCGTATCTCCGTCATATTCCTATGCCATTTCAGTGAACAGAGTTATTTGTAAAAGGGGACATGTTTTTCTAAAAGACGGCTGCAAAAGTTTACAGATGTATACATATTATTTATATGCAATATTGAATTTAATTGCTGTACAAAATGCAACCCACCGCCTTGATTTTCTGCGGTGAAGTTTGCAAATTTGACTTGTAAAGTTGTTGTTGCCTGTAGAAGCTTAGCATATTTGTTCACCAGATCATCGTATCTGCTTTCTAACTTCTTATTGTTCTGCTTCAGATCTTTAATGTCGTTCTTCAAGACGTCCTGCAGAACATCGTATCTGTCTTCCAAGCGTTTCAGATCATTCTTCAGGATGTCCAGCAGGGTGGATGTTACTGAACACCGAGACTGTGATGTGGCCTGTACATCCCTAGGTTTGATACTAAAAAAACTGATTTTGAATGGCAGACATCATCTCTACCTGTTCTGGGATTTCTACAAGATACTGATAACTGTTCACTTTATCAGTCAAGAAAATGTGTTCACTCACTCATGTGATACATACGACCACACCAACTGCACATCACACACTGCTACTTGACTCTGAAAGGAGAAGGACATGGCTCTCCTGCTATAACTTTATAGACTCCACAATTAAGTAAGTGTTTAAGTTTGCTTTAATTTATGAATTTATGAGAATTATTGTTTTAAACTTTATTTGTATTTGTTATATTGTTTTTAAATTTTAGTGACCGGCTTATCGGCTTATCTGCTTAAGGCCCCTTTACACTGGACGGCGTCCTTTCTGCGTCCCTTCTGCGTTCAAAAATGTGGTCAGGACGCTCAAAGATCGCCAAAGCAATTAAATCGTGTCTCAGTGTAAAGGCGTCTGCGTCCGTTGTGCGTCCTTTGAATGACCGAATCTTGATTTTACCTGTAAAACTGCGAGCAATCTGCCTGCCTCCACTGTACGTCCCCTGTGCAACCCAAGGCGTCCATTGCGATGTTTGAGCGACCATTGAGCATTCTTGCTGCGTTCTCTGTACCTTCATCGGCGATNTGGCGTCCTCGGCGTTGGTTGAACGTTCTTTGTGCGACCTTGGCGATCACTGTGCGTTCTTTGAGCGTCCGACGGCGTCCTGGCCAGTTTCATGGTCGCACAAAGGACGCAGAAAGGACGCCGTCCAGTGTAAAGGGGGTTTTACTGGCTAATCCACTACAAACTCAAAACTAAAAGCCAGCCGAGTTAAAAAGGAGTTTCTATCTATCCCAAATCACTACCTAACAGTTCACCATTATACCCGTGTAGTGTTCTTTTCAAACTAGAATACGTTAAAATGAACTATGGGCAATTTTGTTGGAAGCAGCTGTCGTCCTGCTTATTCGATGAAAAGTTTCAAAGTTACGTTTTATGAACTGGACATGATATGACAAAATTGCATTCTGAAACGCTTCAACATGATAATTATATTTCTTCACGAGGGAAATTCAACTTTTTTATATTCACGATGAACCCATTTTGAAACATGTAAAAGCAGAGACACCATATTATTATTATAGTGAAGCTAGGCGTGTAAAACTGATAATGATTTTCATCAAGCTTATTTATCTTGGCTTTCACAACGTGCGTTTCGTGTGCTGGTTTTACCCTGAATTGAAAATGATGCAAGTTAGGCATTCTAGTGGAATGTTTCTTCTGCACCTTTTGTTAAATGTTATTTTTAAATCAAAAGTGGTTCACCAATAACAACAATAATATCAGTTATAATAAAGAATGCATTTACTATACGGTTTATACTATAAAATTTTCCAGTCGATATTATTTGTGTTTTTGGGCCTTCTGGAGCTCTTAGAATTTATTCAAATTTTCACACAATAATATGAAGGTATATTTCTGAAAAAAAATTTTGTGTTAAAACTGTCGCTTTAACATTGTGAACTATCTTTAATCCATCCAAGTGGTTGATATGGTTAATAAATCAGTATACACACGTACAATGACGGCTGGCATGCCTGGCTTTATCTCCTGACAACTCCTTTCTTATATATTTATAAATCAATTACCTGTACCAACTATATCTAAGACCGTCAATGTGGTTTGTGTGAATGAGTAATTGGCAACAATGGGCTTGATAGAGATTTTGAGTTAAAAGTGTTTATGGCATCAGAAGGACCCACAAGTGTCGCCGCTGTACCTTAACTAGTATGCTAAACAAACCTACGTTAAACAAATTTTAGGTAAATGCTAATTTAGGATGTTAACATTATGTCCCTCGTTTTGTAAAAAAAAAAGAATATTTTCAGTAATAAATGACAGAGTGCAGTACTCACTCACGAATTCCAAGTGTAGCGTCAACAAGACAGAGTAAAATAACAGCGGAACTCAACTCCATTGCTCCTCACGGTGTTAAAACGCTAAAGAAGAACGCACATCTAATCCTGTCAGCAATATTTAAGAGTCATCAAGGCACGCGGCGTGCGTTATTTTCATTTGACACTCCTCAATAATTGAACATGATTGAATCAAAACAGTCATTGCGCATGCGCGAGTTTCCGAGAAATCCGCTGTGATTCAGAAATGGGGAGCGGTATTCGTATTAACGCCTCTCACTAAGATAGCCGCAGATCCAAGAGGTCTAAAAACGAGGATCAAACTCCATGTCATTATCAAAGCACAAAATAAATGTTTATGTAACCGTAGTAGAAGTAACAACATTGTGTAATTGAAACAAATTCTCTCTCTCTCTTTCTCTCTCTCTCTCTCTCTCTCTCTCTCTCTCTCTCTATATATATATATATATAGGCCCCTATATATATATATAAAGAAAGAAATTTTGTTTCAATTACACAGTGTTGTTATATATATATATATATATATATATATATATATATATATATATATATATATATGAAGGCTGAACATTGATGTTCTTAGATGGCTATCGGATGTTGGTTTTTTCCTATGAATTCATTTGTTTACTCATTGCTGATAATTATGGTTTTTCTGCATCATCAACCATGACAATTACAAAAGAGCTGAAGAAACAACAGAAGAATTATTTTGGCTTTGTGAGGTTATACCCAAAATTTTCTGACTGATTTAACAGAATTTATGTATCCAGTATATTTATTATCAGAATATTTATATATTATCCTTTAGTAACTTCACCTGTCACAAAAGGAATTGCTTAGTTGGGAGTGTCTGGTGTTCTGTTTGACTTTAAAACGGGTTGATTCCCCTCTCCACCATCCGAAGCTGACTTTAGCATTGTATCTGGCATTTTTTTCTTTTAAATGGCGAAGACTCAGTTTGAATTGACCAAACGCGATCTTTTAATCAACGACCACAATTTCCTTTTCGTTTATTCAATATTTTCCTGTTTATTTCTGTGTTCAGCGTTTTCATTCCCCAGTACACTTTTATAAGCATATGTGAGATCACTAGGTGAGGGGAGGGGGGGGGGGGGAACAATTTACCCAACCTTCCACCAAGCCTGCGTCCTTCATGTCATGCCGGTGTATTGTCTTAACCACGAACATCAACTGAGATTTTAACGAGGCAACAGACCCTCAATGTACTCTTATCTCCTTACCAGAGTGTTGTGATGGGTAATAGCACACCGTTTTTGTAGCGCGTGATGTTGATAAAGATGTCACCTGAATACCAGGTCCGGGAGCCTGGCAGTAATAGAAATTGTTAAAGAAAATGAAGTTGGGGGGGGGGGGGGGTATCAAGAATCAAGCGAGTTGTGTGAGTAAATATTTACGAGAAACGTTCTACTTGCCAAAGTGGTGTAATTTGCGGTTTAAATAGTTGAGAAAAGAGAAAGAAAGAAAGAGAGAGATATTAAAAGAGACGGTAGAAGAGCGTTAGATTAATACTTTACGAGCGCCTTTTTATGCACATTATTCCATACCAAACGTTACAACTATTAAATTAATATATCAAAATGCAGTTATAAACGGGGACGTTAATAAATTCGTCACAAAAAGAATACAATTATATGGTTTGATAATCCTTTTATTTCCTATTTTTCTCCACAAAGACAGGAGATTACCCCCTACAATGCATTACGCCAATGTTAAACAATTAAACCGCCACTGCACACTTAAAAAAGGGCGTGCTTGAAACAAAATGAAATTAAAGCAAATGATGACCACATTCTTAAATGGCCCGTGTATTGGGAAGTTTAACATTGCATAATATGAAACAAATCTATCCAGCTTTGAAACATATTATTCACCAGGTGTATCAAGACAAAATTATATTCCAAGTTCTTTAAATAACAATAAAACACAAATAACAAAAAGCAATAAAAGCCAACAACAAAGTAACTGTTATTTGACAGAGCTGGAAAAACAACGACTTCCCAACTTATACTATTAAGAAACTGTTTGGATAAAGTTCCTTGTTCCAACAATAGCATTGAATCAACCTACGTAGTTTGACATTGTTTACAGTCTGATACCCAGTGCGATTCATAATAATTAATTTTGTTGTTTCAGAAATGGTTCATATCCAGGATGACCAACAATCCTACTCCTTCTAAATATCACAAGTCTGCTGGTAAAATATCATATGTTTTTTCTCCTGTTGATTTCTGACGACGACTCTGGTGAATTTGTATTACTAGTATTTCCCATAGTCACACTACACTTTTATTACAATTCAATAGTCTATAGTATATTGTTCATACCAAAAGCGATTAATCAACAAACAGTGGTTTTGATCAAGGGACAAATGTTACGGCCGCCCCAAAGAGTTACCAAATTGAGCGATTTCACAAGGAAATCAAGCAATTTAAAGAAACACCATCAACTACATCATTTACGAGAAAAATATTAAGTTTAGTAACACCGCCAAGTGATATAGTCGTTCACCGTATAATACTGATTAATATATATATATTAATTCTGTTAACTGTATTCAAGAATCGTAGTCCACGAAGTTCTCAGCCGTAGTCTGTTCTCAGTTCGTATGTTTGTCATATATCGTAGCCGTTCTATCGTGAAGACGTGGCCGTTATACGGGTTGGGTCCCTGTTTGGGTATTACGCTGGGCAACTGAAAAAGGTAAATCAATGTAAGGAGTGTATACCGGTGTAACGAAACTGAGGGTCCGTGTAACAGAAAATCCTCCCTCCATAATTATAATGGTTAGGGTTAGTCTGACCTAAGTGGGCCAGATCTAGGGCGAGGCTTACATGTACCAATAAATGGGAAGCAGACTCTCTATCATATGGGAATCTCACTCCCTGTGCATTTTAAGTATGAATCCTGCACAACACCAGGTACAACCCCCCCCCAGACCCCCCCCCTCCCCCCCGTCACATGCCACCTGACAAAGCGCGGTAAACAGTATGTCATATGGGTCGTGATTTCTGATAATAAAAACAAACTGAACTCACAACAAAGCATAGATTGTACATAACTTAATGGTACCTTCTATTTGAACTTACAGCAATGCATAGATTGTACATAACTTAATTTTACCTTCTATTCATATTTGATAAACAGTTGTGTGTGTGAGAAAGAGAGAGAAGAGGAGGCTCTTACTTTGGTCCATCCGATGGATGCCATATGTCGCAGTCTGCTGGAGATTGTCCGTAACAAGCCTCGTCATCGTCATTCGGATCACCATTGAAATTTCCACAAACCCCACAAAGCTTGCCTGCATATTCCGCTAACAAATACATAAATAAACAAAAATTAGATTCACATATATGTTTTGAAATACGCCATCAATCACCACTGTCAAGTATGAGTAACGTTTTTGGCGGAAAAACCATATCTTTTACATGGTTACTTTTATCCACATTGACCTCTGAATTCGTGATAAGTTATTTCAATTCTCTCTCTCTCTCTCTCTCTCTCTCTCTCTCTCTCCTTACCTGGAGTAGTTATTTCGGCATGATGTCCTGGCTTAAAGTTTCCCCCCTCAGGAACGGTAAGGGCAACCTTCAGACCATTGCGGGCCTCAACAAAAACAGCAGGGTGTTGATGATTTCCGCTAGTTAAACTGCCGAGATAGAGCTGCAAGCCATTGCCAAGGTTGACAGGGGCGGTTGTCACTGTCCGACTGAGTCCATTTACCTTTGATGAAGAAATTATAATTATAAATACGGGAATAGAACATAACAGAACAGAATAGAACAACAGAACAGAACAGAATAGAATAGAACACTTCCAATTCCTGTCCCCATTCTATTTAATATCTAATGATAACTACTACCACTCTCAGCGGCGTACCTTCACATCTCCGTTGACATTAATATCAACAGTGGTGGCAAACATTTCAAATGTGAGTTCCTCTATGTATGTTCTGGAGCTGCCTGGCCTAATAGGTCTGTTTCTTCCGGTAACTGAGAACGGTTGGAGAGGCGCTTCGCCAGGTTTGGTAGGCACACAAGTCTCTGATAAAATAACCCTGCACACCGCCTTCAGTAATTGTTGTTTGCCATCTAAGTTTGTGACGTGGGGATCCCCAACAATGACACACTTCGCCGCTGGCAAAAGAGAAAATGGTAGTTTTCAAATTTTGTTTTTATTTATTTGCTTTTTTCTGTGTTTTCTCGGTCTACGTACAAATCACTTTCATTTTTAAGAACATCATTATTGACATCAGTGCTTGTGAAGTAAAATAATAAATGACTAAGATTTTCCTTTTTAAACTAAAAAATCCTGTTCTGGAGTAGCAGTACTTACAGCATATTGCTTTTCAATATTAGGAACTTTTACAGAAGATGCAAGTCTTCAACGAGTGCTATCAAAACCCTCAACTTTGATGGAATTTTTGTCCTATATCATGTCTATACGTACGTGCTGACGCCGTAACTGTTGCATTAGACGGCATATCACAGATAGCTTGGCCAGAAATCGACGCAGTGAAATCCAAACGCATTTCTTGATTCTGGAACACAAACTGCAGATATCTTCCAACGATTGGTGGGTTAATGAATCTGGAGGTCATTCCCGTGTCACGCAAGTCGATGATCCAATCCATTTGGCCTGGAATATTGTTACGGTAGACACATTATACCTAATGTCAACATTAATGAACATAAATAATAACATTAATAAACATAAATGTATATATATATCCATTTCAATCTGCTTGTGTGAGAATCATTTGTTCTGAATGCGCTTATTGATATATATATATATATATATATATATATATATAAATATATGGACATAAATATCCTCACCTTGGGAACTGGGGAAATATGTGATCACGGCGTACTCCGAGGTAATCTCTGACACCTGACCAGTAGTCGCCATCTCCTGTGTACAGTTAAACGAGGGCGCTAAAACATAATAATAATAATAATAATAATAATAATAATAATAACGTTTCTTCGACGACCAGGCAAAGATTGGGTAAGTATAAGCAAGTCATGCATGGTCCATGTTACAGGAGATGTCTCAAGTTTATAAATTATAAATCACCCAGCGTTCACCTACCCAACGCTGTGAACTGTCGATCGAGTTTTGCGGAGA